AGAAATTTTTATAATTGACGTTTTGAACTATTTTACTTGTAAGCTGCGAGCGTCTACTTTTTGGCGAGTGTAAAAGAGATCGGGCGTCGATGGATGATGAATATTTAATGAAAGACACGCGAGCACTTGAACATATAGAGCATAGTTGAAGCGTTCCCGTTCGAGGGAACGGTAAATATTTAATTGTAAAACATTTTTTCGCGACTTGTTAAACACACACACATTTGGTATATATAAAGCCTCCTTACAAAGCGATACAGGTCGCGTTAGACCAGCTTTACACAGCTGTTGTATCGAATCTTACTAGACCTTACACTTAAAAACCGTTCTACTTCCAACCGAATCAATGTAAATATTCATTTTTCTTTTACCTTGAAAAGTATGTTTCAAAGATTAAATAAAAATGCAGTAACGAACGTGACGTGTTGGAAGTCTTACAGAATTTTGGTAAATAATTGCGGGATTAAATCAAAATAACTATGTGTTATAAAACGAATAAAAGGAAAAATGATAAATTGTTCATGTGTTAATCGTTATTCCATTCCCTTGGCTTCTCGTCGACTTCTTAGTTCTGATATATGGGAAACAGTTGAGTGCTGTTGATCGTTTCTGTTGGCAGAGTTCAGTTCTGTTGTGATTACTGTTACTTTGGTTTTAATTTTGTTCAGTTCGTTTTCAGGAAATGTTCGTTTATCATGGTTTCCGCGGATGATTATCCTTGCGCCGATGAGACTGAGGCTTCAAACATATCCTCCCTGCAGTCTGATAGCTGTGGAATCGAGACTACTGCCAAAGAATCCCATTCTGAACCTATAAACAGAGATGGTAACAATCTCCAGGAATATAGTTGCACGTAGAGTCTGATTCTAGAGGTAGTTTGGAAATTCAATGGTGTACTTGTTAAGTTAAAGAGTGTAAATGTCACAAGTTGCATTCAACTGTGAACTGGGGAGATCCTGCTGCTGAGCATTGTGAAAGGGCAGACGCAGCGGAGCAATTACCTAAGAAGGAACCATCGAATGATCAGCAGATGATACAATTGCAATCCACTATGCCATGTTTGTGCCATGCTCATCAAATGTAATGCAGGTATTTTCGTATCGTGTGACTTATCCGTATAGTAATACTCACTTTCTTACAGGGGTTGTTCTTTACCGTTAAAATACAAAACTGGTAAGTGGTTAAGCTTCACGAAAAGTACAATAGTACCAGGAAGATGGTACAGATTCTAACTATTTTCAAGGCACGTCGAGTCCTTTGCCTCTTTGGTGTCCCTTCAGATGGAGATGGCCAAAGAAAGAGTACTCAACCAGGGAAGATAAGACGTACAAAGTTAAATTAAAACAAGAGAAGTGTCCTCATTATGCAGAGGTACTGTACGGAGGATAATTTCTTTACCTGCTTCAAGTTATTCTTTCTTTAGTATAAGTATACTACAGAAGAAAGTGTTCAGTACACTGACATACTTGTTTTACTCAGCCTTTCATGTGCTGTGAAATATCAGAAGGTATACCAAATAAGAGGAATACGAATGCACCTAAAACAGTGAAACCATTGAAGTTCGCAGAGAAGCCAAAGGCTGAAGAAGTAAGGACAATGGAAAAAATTGAGATCTATTATTTTGATCATGGCAATTCTGCGTAAGTGTGATCAGAGATTACTCAAAAAAAAGTGTTTGTAACTCAGTGGTTGTTCATTTTGCATAGATATTTCCGGACAACTGACTCGCCACCGATTTTGGCCACGGAAAAGTGTGCGGAGAAGACCGATCAAGCGGCGACACGGTTCTGGGCTGAAATATTTGGGACAATTCACATTGGCACCGCGTTTGTCACAGCGTTCATCCTGCAGCTCATTCGTTTCGTACTCTATAGCATAGTCAGACCACTCACTGTAGGGGTTCTGCAAATGTTTGCAGACTATTTCATAAAGCCCAGTTTGTCGATTATATTTAACGCAATCATACAACCGGTCTTAATATTACTGTATAACATTGCGACGTCTTTGAAGGACCTTTGCGAGCCCATTGCAGAGGCAATTGGTTTATTTTTAAGGGAGATTGCTAATTTGTGCGCAGCGATTAGAATCGTTGAAGTCAGGCAGAATAATTCTCCTTCGGTTGCTTGCACTTGATAGGGAAACTTACATTTCTGTAGGAAGAATTAGGTTCGCTGGACTATTGTCTTCCTCTTATGAGAAAAAAGGTACGCTTTAACATTAATCTGATTTTATACCTTGTCGCAAAGCAGAAGTAGGTAGAGAAGGTGGATGTCTGATGAACTCTGTTCATTTTGGTGACTTCAGCTTGGTTCGGAGTAACTGGATGGATGGATTGAGACAAGAGGAAACAGATTTTAAGGAATCTGAAACTCTTTCGCTGGAAACAGTCGCAGGACCAAAATGAGATACCAAAAGATACACTTCATAGAAATGTGTACTGTAAGTATAAATTAACGATTGTTAATTTGCTGTACCTGATAATATTTTCATCACAGAATGGGATAAAATGGCTTCATGGTCTTGCGCTTGGTGGTTGGTGATACTTCAGGACTGGAAAAGAGTGATATGAAGTAGACGGTGGAACGATTGATGTAACTGAAGAGTTGGAACGAATATAACACATGCCTTAACACCAGGTATATATTTGGTATTACTTTAACTTTACAATATTATTATCGTTTCATTCGCTTTGTC